GGCTTGGGGGGGGGGCAGCCCTCCAGATTGCCCTATAGTCCTACACTGTCGGTCTGCTGGGATAGAATGAGTAGAGAAGTAGAGAATTAGTCTAAATTCCATCCCCCTCGGTTTTTGTTTTCGTTTCTTGTACTCATTCTTCGAACATTAGAGAAGTAGAGAATTGATAGAGAATTTGAGTAGAATCCAAATGACAACAAAGTCCTTTCTGACGTAATCACAAAGCTGGTCGACATCGTGGGTTGGTTTGAGGCTACGATTTCGGGTTAATGGTTTAGGTTTCGGGTGGGTCTAGGTTTAGGCTAGAGGGTAGGATTGAAATTTCGGCTTCCACAAAGCGTGCCAGTCTGTCCTCTTCAAGTCTGAGAGGCGGGGGTTTTCCGGGAGTATGAGGGGGGGGGTTGTCTTCTGGGAGTATGAGGGGGTTTGTCTTCCGGGAGTTTGAGTTTGTCTTCCGGCGTGTGACTGGGGGGGGGGGTTGTACCCCCCCCCTTAAATTGACCCCCCCTTTCCTTGCCTGAAAATCTCGGAAGCCAGATCGGGGGAGTCCCATGGGGGGGGGGGTGGTCATGGAGGGAAGGGTTGGGTTAGGGGGAAGGAGACCTGATCTGGGTTTGCTTGTTCCAAACGCTTCTCGGCAGGAAGCCGAGGCGAATATATTTTATGAGAAACTGTTGCGGTAAAGGGGACTATAGAAAGAAGCAAACTTGGCCCAAAAATTCTTATATAGGCACCATTGTGAGGTGATTGGACCCTTAGGGTAAGTGGGCGTCAGAGACCCGAGACCATGCAAACAACGCAGCGGTCAGCATAATCTTTGTGAAGGATCACCTACACAACCCGCAAATAAACCTCCTTACGCAAGACCTATAGACCCTCGACACTAGAAAGCCCGTAGAAAGCCCATTGAAAGCCCACAGAAAGCCCACAAAAAGCCCATAGAAAGCCCGCAGCCCCAGGTTTCGGCCTACTTTGCCTCAGCCATCATCGCTCTCTGCCTGGCCTTTTATCCCGCTGTCATTGGTGTGGGTCTCTACGCTTGTGATCGATGGGCAAGAGATTGGTGGGAGTCTCAAGAAGAGTCTACGGGTCGAGGGTTTGGGGATTGGGGGTTCGGGTTCAGGGTTTAGCTGGTTTAGCTGGTTTAGCTGGTTTAGCTGGTTTAGGGTTTTAGGCTCTGGGTGGCCTTAGGTTTATAGGGGGCTCCCTCTTAGCACTCATCCGACCAGACTCCCTTGAGAAGGCAATGAAAATTGCACCCCCCATATATGGTCCCCTACAACCCGCTCTAACCCTAAGGCTCAAAATCCCCCCCAAAGAACCTCAGCCTGGGATTTGGGCCCACATTCCTTCACGAGTCCTTCGAGAGCCGGAGTTTAGCGGACAGCTCCAGACATGAGGGCGCTCTCTACAGGAACCCCAAGACCATTTGGCTGAACCCTATGCCTGGACCGAACTAGAGGTTTAGCGTCATATGCGACAAAAAGAGGACAAAGCCAAAACCCTAAAGGTAGGTTCCGTAGGCTCCAGGTACACCTGGTAGATAGATATAGAACGCAATAGATGATCCGAACGCCTTGAACCCTGAGTACACCTTCGACTGTCAGGTCATGCAGCCCTGTAGCAGTACTGCAGACGGCGGGAATTGGTCTCGCTATTTGGCTTCTCTTTGCGCTGGGTACCATTGCCTCGTCTCTTGCTTCTGGGCCGAAGATTAGAAGACTTTGCACGGTTTCGTTTCTGACCGGAGCCAAACAAGAAAATTCCGGGATCTGAGGGTTGCAGTTTACTACAGGCTCCTCCGTTCACTGTCCTTGGGGCCTAAGGCCTTGCATAACATGGTCTTTGGGCCCAAAGTCTTCCAAATCTGAGCCCGTAAATCCTAGAGTCTAGCTGAATTCGAACTCCTACGAGGGTTCCGAATCCCCTTAGAGTGTCCCAGACCCCTCTAAAAAATCGGGAGATTAGATCCCTAGACTGATATGGAGTTATATTGTGACAATATGGGGATTACTTTTTCCGGGGAGCCAATTTTTAGATAGTTTTGGGGGTCTGGGATAGGGTTTACTGGACCTAGGCTTATCGGACAAACGTGACTTCGTCCTTGCTGCTGTGGATAGGGGCGGCTCTTCTTTTTGCGTTCCTGATGTGGAGGCCAGGCTACTCTATGCTTTTTGTGCTCATTATCGTTTAGGGTTTAGGGTTTAGGGTTGAGGGTTTAGGGTTTAAGGTTTAGGGTTTTAGGGTTTTAGGGTTTAGGGTGAAGTAAAATGTCGTTCCATGAAGGTTGGAGTCGCAAGTCTAGACAAGAAAACAAGTCCTTTGCAATGCGGAGGGAGTTGTCAATAAGCGCTTCCCTCAACACCTTAGATATCTACGGCAAACCCTACCCCCCAAAACTCCCAAACCCAAACCCCCAAAACCCAAAGCCAAAGCCCCCTCCCCAGCCACCACATTATGGAGGTGCCTCTGGCAACAGCGAGGCCATTGCACATCCTGACCGGATCAGATGTCTTCATGTCCCAAGGAAGGAGGCCCCGTGTGTAGCCCCGTGTTAGGATTGTATTGTAGTCCTTGTATGACCCCTATGCGGCCCTAGGTCACACAAGGTTGGGGCACATGGCTCAGGAATGTCCACATCAGTGGGGGGCTTCCCAGAGAGGCTCACACGCGGCAACCCGCCCTCCTTCTGGCGATGCTAATGATGTAGTCAGGGGTTCAGCTTTTGTCTGGCAGCCCAGCTTATGTTCCCAAGACCCTTGGCCCCAAACCCTACACCGGTGTGCATTTGAATTCTGACCTGGTGTAGGAGCGGCAGTTGCAGCATAAGAAGTACTAAGGAGGCACAGCTATGGTTCTCCCAATAGCTTCAAAAGTTTCGACAATTACCCATACCTCTGAACCCTAAACCCTACCCTTCAAGCCAAAGCCCTTGACAACACTGTCCCGATAAGTACTGTATCATGAAGGGGAGGTACCCTTCATTTACGCTCCTGGGCGTCTGAAGTCTGAGAAGTTGCTGAACCCCTCTCATGAGCCGCTATGGCGCTTTTGAGCGGCTGCTTTTGAGCCGGAGTCTCCAAGACTCGTCATAAGAATGCTTTTGCGGACACATTGCATGGGTCATTTGCGGCACGGGAGGGGGTTGACAGAGGCTACATAGCATCATGCTATCATGTTACGACTGCCATGAACAGAAACTTCAGGGCCAGTTCCTTGCTGAAGGCGGCTTGGGGATTTCTGACCATGCCGTTGTGTTTTGCAGGGTTGAGGGTTCAAGGCTGGTCCAGCGCCCAGCGCAGCCTAGCACTTCAATACTGCTCCATGCAGTATATTTCATGCGGCCAATGCCACGTCCGCCACCTCGGGCGGAACCCTTGCAGAGCTTGCTCGGGGCTGTGTGTGTGTCGAACTGTCACATGCAGTAAGCACTTGCCATTTCAACATGTCACGAAACCCGAAAGGTCCAAGGACCCAGACTTGAGGATCTTAGGCACCCAATCCCATTGTCTGAAGGGTTTTTGTTCGTCCGGAAACCCTCGTGTTTGAGTCCTCGGTTTTCTTAAAGACAGACCGCCGGGGTGCGATGTCTAAGCCAAGCAGAAGTACTTGCGTAGTGTTTAACAAACTTCCAACCTTATTTATTCGGAAACTTAGGGGCTTTGTGGTTGGGTTAGGTGTGCAGTTCCAACTGCTGGGTTGCTGTTAAGGAACTTAACCTAAGTTGCCATATGTACTGGGGGATATATAGGAATATGGTTCCCCAATTATAGCAACTTAACGTAAGTTCCTGAACAGCAACCCATGACCAGAACGGATGCAAAGCCACCGCCCTCAGCTCGGGCTTTAGGGGGTTTAGGGTTTAGGATTTAGGGTGTTTCTGAACATTAAGGAGCTGTTGGACTATACTGTATTTAGGGGGGACCCTCATTTTGGGAAATTGCCATTTAAGTTTACTCTCTGTCAGCTCCAGCTCCCTTTCCCCTGCCACTTCTACACGCTTCATCTCTGGAGGCAGTTTCATGTAATTTAGCGGAGTTGAGGGTCCTCGGTTGCACCTGATTTTTAAGGGGGACGAATGGGACAGAATAAGGGACTATAGAGGGGTGTCCTTATGCGGACGTAAACATTCTGGTTCCGAACCCGCGCGCGTGAAGACGTGGCATTGGCTGTTTACGGCATATCTCCACAGCTGGGGGAAGAACTTCTCCCTTTTTTGGGGGCTTTACCCTGCCAGAATGGAACCCCCACTTACACCCCAAAAGGATGTAACTTGATTGCCGCTGTTGGTGGGGGGTTTTGGGCCATTATGTTATCTGCTTGAGGAGTCCGGCAATCCCTGCAACACCAAACCTCAGGAAGCGGCCATAGTTTTTATGGGGCATTATGTAGCAGAAAAAACTATAACCATCGCTACTATAACTATACTCCCCACCAATCATAACCTTGCTGGAATTATAACTACAGTTATGATTAAGTGGAAAATTTCCCCCGAATGTCCAAGTAAATCCTAACCGAAAACAGAAGGCTTCAAAAGGCTTTCGAACGTTTGCGAAGGCTTATCGATGATCCATCCCGTCGATACCCCGAGGCCTCCAGCCTTTAACTAAGAACCTCGAGCTCTGAGATGAAGGTGTGTAGGGACTAAGGCTTAAGGGTTGTAGGTTTTAGGGTTTGAGGTTTAGGATTGCAACTCAAGCTCTGAGATAAGGGTGTAGGGATTGAGGCTTGAGGGTGTTAGGGTTTAAAGTTTAAGGGGATTGAACCTCAAGCTTTGACATAAGGGTGTAGGGATTAAGGTTTAAGGGCTCTGGGTTTTTGGGGTTTAGGTGTAGGATTGAACCTCAAGCTCTGAGATAAGAGCTGTAGGGATTCAGGCTTAAGGGCTTTGGGTTTTTGGGGCCTAAGGTGTAGGATTTGCGGGCTTAGCTGTTTAGGGCTTCGGGTTCAGGCCGTTTGGGGATATCCTTTCACAATCACATGCCCCACCCCGCTGAACATCACATATTCTTAATTAGAGTAGCCATAATTTATCGGGGGATGGAGTTTTTACTATGAGATGGGTGGGGGTTCTGATATTCTGAGATTCGGGAGAGTAAGGCTTAGCACTTAAGGCGTAGGACTTGAGGGGTTTTTGGAGTTTAGGATTTCGGTAAGGGTTTAGGGTTTAAGGTTTAGGGCTCAGGATTTAGGGTTTAGGGGGTCTGGGACTTAGAATCGCAGATTAGAAGATTCCTTGATTAGGACCTATTGATTACGGGAAGACGAAACAAGGGCAGGAATTCAAATTCTGGGCATTCAAGGACATGTTCTACACGGAATAGAATCATCTGTACTTGCTGTTTCCCATAATCTTAATAGTTACCCTCAACCCAAACCCCTAAACCCTAAACCTTTAGCTAAAGTTGTGATTTCTACTAAATTACCTAGAGTCTTCCCCCTGCGCACAAGGAGTCGCACTTGTGTTTTTCAAGTCCTGGTGCTTGGCTCGTGGACAGACTGTGCAGGAACGAGGAGACCTGAGTTTGGTGACTTTAGGGTTTGGGGTTTAGGGTTTAGGGTTTGGGGTTTGGGGTTTGGGTTTAGGGTTAGGACTGCGAGTTTAGGGGGGTTTAGGTGCCGGTAATTACTATTGCTATAACTAAGATCATTGTTATTACTATTCGTTTGTGCTGCTTCCCAGCTGGCAGAGTTTGGTTCACAAAGGGTTCGAGGGTTCGCCAGCGTAGTTGGTGTGCATGGGCAGAATTTTGAATCAACATTCGGCTCTTTTTACAGGGGGCTTGGTTTCTTGCCGCACCTCTTGGGCCGGGAGGGGGTGGATCCTCGCGCACGCACGAGCTCACGCACGAAAGCCCGTAATTCCCCCCACGACAGTTTGAAATTCTCCGCCACGAAATACGTGCGCACGAAAACCCGAAATTCTTCCCACGAAAACTTGAAATTTTCTCTAACGACGTACGAAGGCACGAAAACCCGAAGTTCCCCCCATGAAGGCTTGAAATTCTCCCTACGGCGCACGAAAGACCGAACTTCCTCCACGACAAATCCTCCCCACAATGCACGCGCACACCCGAAATTCCCCCTCCTCGCTCACTCTCCTCGCTCCCCACACTCACTCGCCTCACTCGCTCCCCTCACTCACCCGTCACTCACTTCCGTCCTGTCACTGAGCCTTACCTCTCGCTGCCTTTCATGGGGCGTCTTTGTTCTAAATCCCGCTGCGAATTAATGGGATCAGCTTGCAACAAAGAGAAGACACGGCCTGAAACCCGACAAGCCCACCCTCGGAGATGGGTCACTGAAGGTCACTGATAAGGGAGCAAGAGGTAGGATTCAGATTTATTAAAGAAATATAGAATTGCCTAAGATGCTCGTATATAAAATAGATATGATAGGAATTATTTGAATAATACGTTATGAGAACATAAGAATCTTTATTATGATTTAAATTGGTGAATATTCGGATTTGTAAATTTTTTTGTTTATATTTTGGAGTATGATTGGATATATATTTATTCTTGCCTTTCATGTCGGAAAATATCTATGTTTCATGATTTTTGGTTCTCTAAGAATTTGAAAGTATCTTTATTTCATGGTGTTTTAAAATATGGTTTTGGTTCTCTAGGAATTTGAAAAAAATCTATATTTCATAATTTTTTTCTCTAAGAATTTGAAAAAAATTTATATTTCATGGATTTAAGAACTTGAAAAGTATCTTTATTTCATATTTTCGGTTTTCTAAGAATTTGAAGAATATCTATATTTCATGGTTGTTGAAAAGTATCTACGTCTCATGGCTTGGGTTCTTTGAGAATTTGAAAAATATGTATATTTCATGATTCTTATTTTCTAAGGACTTAAAAAATACGTATATTTCATATTTTTATTTCTTTAAGGATTGAAAAATATCTTCATCTCATGGATTTGTTTTTCTACGAATTTGCAAAGTATCTAATTCTCATGATTTTGGTTCTCTAAGAATTAGAAATATAGATATATTTCATGGTTTTGCTTCTCTAGGATTCGGAAAAGTATTTATATCTCAAGAATTTGATTCTTTAAGGACTTGAAAGATATCTTTAATTCATGGCTTTGGATATCCAAAAATCTGAAAAATATTTATATCTCATGGGTTTGATTCTCTAAGAATCTAGAAAATATCTACGCCTCTTGATTTTGTATCTCGAAACACTTGGAAAATATCTATATCTCATGGTTTTTATTCTCTAAGATCTTGAAAAATATCTATATCTCATGATTTTGATTCTCTAAGAACTTGAAAAATATCTATATCCTATGATTTCTATTCTCAAAGAATCTAAAAAAATCCATATTTCATGGTTTTCCTTATTCAAGAATCTGAGAAGTAATTATGTCTCATGATTTCGTTTCTCCAAGAAGCTGAGAGGTATCCATACTCCAAGAATCTGAAAAATATCCACATCTCATGATTTTGATTCTCCAAGATTTTGAAAAATATATACGTCTCTGGATTTT